GCCACTTCCTCTGTCTCTCTCCACTCTTCTCCATGTTTTCGTCTTTTCTCAGATCCTTCTTTGCCTTCCGAGGATGTGGCTCTGTCCCGGTGGTTTGCCGTAGTTCCTCGGGGTCATCCTGGAAATTCCCTGGGAGGGCCTGGGTGTTTGAAGGTCTACAGAGCAGAGCACCTATAAGACACGCCAACAAGTGTCTTGTAGGTGACAACATGACAAGTCTGCCCTTGTCATGTACACAGCCTCTTTATGTTGCTGTGCTCGTCAGGTCTTCATCTCTTTACCTGCTGGAGGTGGGGAGCACAACACGGGGTGAGGGCTAAGAAACGTTGGTGTAGCCACACTGGGCACACAGCGCACCGTGTCCAGTTCCTCAGTCTGGGTTCGTCTCTCCTGCCGTCATGGTGGCCTGTTCTAACTTGGGGTCCCTGCTCGATTCCTCTGTTAGGGGCTCCTAGTCAACAGAGAATCAAGGTTTGAAAGAGGGTAGGGGTATTCCTTTGCTATTTATCCTCTCTCCATTACAGGCAAGAAAATAAAATGTGGTGAAAACATGCGTGGGGAGAGATGGAGGAACTGGAGAGAATGATCTGGCACATCCCCACCAGGGCACGTACCCACAGACCCTCCAGCTGCTCCTCAGGGGAAGGGTTCTGGACCTTTTGCCACCTTGGTCTTCTCATTTGGACATGCCGTGGGAATTTGCCCACAGCCTTCCTGCAGTGTGATTGCCGGAGCTGAGCCCAACCAGCACCCTGAGGCCGTCTGACTGGCACCGAGTCCAGGGGAGCACTTCTCTGAGGGTCTGAGGACCACCTGCAGTAGACTCATTTATGGCTGGTTTCTGAACGAAGATTCCTGAGCCTGCCCGCAAACTGGCTCATGATGTCCTGGGCGAGGACCCAGGAGTCTGCATTTTTGTAGGACTCCCCAGCGACAGCCTCTGCGCTCTGGAGTTGGAGAGCTCGGATCCCGACTCCCCTCCTGACAGCGAGGCTGCAGTTTGCTGATTGACGTGGTTCGGCTCTCAGTCACCCCCCGAGCAGCGGGCCTTTTTCATAGCTGCTAGGCCTGTATGTCTTACCTGTCTTCCCTACCCTGGCCAGATCAAGGTGTGGGAGAAATGGAATCTGCCGAAATGGGAATCTTGTAGGAGTCCCAGAACGTTAACTGCAGATGTGGTTATCTGGAAACTTCTGATAGTGCAGTAAGTGTGAGGTGGAGAGGAGAGTGGGGAGGGAACCAGACAAGATGTACTGTAGCAACTGGACACCTTGTAGTGAGGATGCCTTTAGCTTTTGAGCTGTTAGTAAAGTGGGTCATGAGCATGGATGTTGGAAATTCTTTGGGAATTAGATGGGCAGGCTTCCTTTTTCCTCTCCAGCTGTTTGTGCTTCTGTCTGGCAAGATTAAATTACATCTAGGACATCTTGCAGAAGTGATGAAAGTCACATTAGGGAGGGACTGAAACAGGGCACCCACAGCACTGGGGGTCGAGTTTGTGCACCCACTGGTGGACACTGGTGCTGGTGGTGGCTTGAGTCCAGATGCAGCTGCAGAAGCCTTCCTACCCAGTGTTCCAGGCCAGGTTGAAGTGGGCACCCCATTTGCTGTTCCTGCAGTACATAGATTCTAGCCTGTGGCAGGTGCACCAGGAATGTTAGCTTTGTGCTATCGTTCTTCTCTCCAGCAGCAGTTTTGGGGACAGTCTCTAGCTGAGTGTGGGGACATGATGTCACCATCTTGTGCCACTGTGTCCGTGGCTGGAGGAGTCACTGTTCTTCAAGCAGACCTTGCCTTGGTGTTTCCTGGGAACCTGGCATCTGTGTGCAGAGCCAGCCCCTGTCACCTGGTTTCTTGGCTCCCAGATCATGGTGTGACCTGACTCCCTGTGGGGCATGCCAAGTGATCAATGAGTTTTCTCCACCAAGTTGAGCTAAGGCTTGGCATTGCTTTATGTCCTTAGTGAGTGCTGAGGGGAGCTGTGGCCTGGCTCCTCAGGCCTGTCTGTGCCCGCGAGCCCAGGGCCAGGCTGGCAAAGACCTCTCCCCCCGCCTGGCACCAGACTCTGCCGTTCTGGTTGCTTGGGTCTCCTCATGTTGGAATTGTCTAGAATGTGCTGTGCATGGTGGATGGGAGGCAAGCTTCCCCTCTCCCCGCATCCCCAGTTTGCCCTTTCCAAAAGAGTTGAGTCTTTCCAGAGTCTCTTGTACTCAGTGCTCTCTGAACTACATGTTTTATTTGAACCACAAAGTACAGCTTGAGAACACCTTAGCCTGGAACAACCTCAGTCATTACTGGAATTTAAGTGCTTCTAGAAGTCACTTGACAGAATTAATTAAAAATAAAAAGAGGCGAAGAAATTTAACACAGATTTAGTCATCATTCCTGGGGTTTTAATTTCATAATTACAAGTGTAGAATATTGATATAAGTGAGCCTTTAAAGATCACTAATAAAAGGAAGATAGTAAGTGGTTACAAATATGTAATTATAGGCTGACAAAAAAAACCAACGGCTTGATGATATGAACGTGGATTCTCATGGGTTGGGATACCATTTCCAATGACACCATCCTACATAAATTCACAAGAAGCTGTATCTTAAATAGATGACAAGGATGATGTGTTCCAGAAAACGGCTCTGGATGTCTCAACTCGGGTTGATTAAAGGCACTAATGTGGAGCATGCACATGAGAAGTTCAAAAAGAAATCATTTTGTAAGCTGGGTGTGGGAAAAATAGTACTTTAATAGGATTTTAATTTTAAGTATTTATATATAAATAAATTTATAGAAGTTACAAATAGTGATTTGACTTTTTAATCTAAGTCTCCCAAAATTGTATAGTCAAGTTGGTGCAAACCAAACCATTGTTTTAGATCTTCTCATTGGCCAGTTGCCTTCGATATGGGAGTCATTTTATATTCCTCCTGGTTTTCTAGGTTATATGGTAATTCTTCCTGCAGCCTCTGAGGTTGGGGATTTGAAAGGGGGGAGGAATGGTGGGAGGGGTGACCTTTTCTCTAACCCCCAACCCCCCACTTTTCACCTTCCATCTCTCTTGCCTCACTGCCCCCTGCTGGGCACCAGACCCTGGGCTGGGGGCTTCCCGGTGTGCCTGACTCCAATTCTGCCCTTGCAAGGTCACAGTTTGCAAACTGGTTTTAGACATTGGGAGGCCTGGGTGTTGTGTTTCACACTTGCAGTGTCTGTGGTTTACTTCTTGCTATGTGTCCATGGAACATATTAATTTATCTTTAAGTAGATTTATTAAATGAAATATTCATTGGAGCGGGTGCTTCAGTGTGCAGCATTTGGAACAATGTACTGAGTACAGTTTGTCCTCATAAATCTATTAATGCTGATAGGATGTAATTGTCTCCCATGAAGCTTTGGGGTGAGCTGGGGCCCCGGGTAGGGGAATAAGCTGGCTGCTGAAAGCTGTCTCCCTCAGCTCGGCTTCGGTAGGCTCTGTTCTGAGCGTGTACGTGTGTGTGTTTGGTTGCACATATCCATTCTCTGTCTTCCTTTTTAATGAATACAGAGGCTTCCATTTCTGAGAAAGCCCTCTTGTCAGCTTCTAGCTTCTTGTCAAATTCCTACTTCCAGCCATGGTTTGGAGGGGTAATGAGGCTCAGAGGGAAAAGCTGGCTTATGAGTGAAGACTGATCTACGAGGAGAGGGGATTCAGGGGACTGAGGATGGGGATGGGGGCAGAATGCTAATACTTAGGAATAATCGCAGCGTGGCAGCCCCTGAACTAGGTGCTTTCTCTACTTGTCCCAGGTGGTCCTAAAAGGCACCATAGGAGGTAGGTGTTATCATTTCTGTATTTGAGGCTCAGGTTGGTTTAGTAACTTCATTACTAAGTCAGTTCATTTGGTTCAACAGACCTCTGTGGTGGCCTGTCCTGTGGCCGGGGGCTGGGCACGGGGCACAGAGAACCCATAGCATCTGGCCTCAGTGAACGCCAGAGGCTTATAGAGGAGTCAGACAGGGAAGCGGAGCCTCCGTCCGGGTGATGGAGGGTGCCGAGGAGGATGTGATGAATTGGGGGACGCTGAGCCAAGGCCAGAGCCGGTGTCTGAGCCAGGCTGGGAGACTGGATAGGAGTTTACCAGACACATGGGGGCTGGGAGGGGTTCCCCATGGTGCAAAGAGCAGGTACAAATATACAAGGATCTAGGACAGGGTGGGGAAAGCCTGGTTCAGTTCTGCTCACTCCCCAGAGGAGGGAGGGTGCGAGGGATAGGCAGTCACTAGTGCTGGGTCTCTGAAGCCTTGCTGGGGAGTTTGGACTGTGACCAATGGCAGTGAGCCATTGGAGGTTTTGAAGTCAAGGAGAGGGAGAAGGGAAGTTGGGTATTTGGTTATTCGAGAGGCACAACAGAGGCCGGTTTGGAGGGGACAGGGCAGGAGGTGGGAAACCTAGGGCTTGTGGTGCTCACGTAGCCAGGAAGTCACTGGGGTGGAGTGAGGGGAGCATTGGGGGTGTAGGAGGTAAAAGGCATAATTTGGCATCTGTATTGGGGAATAGCAGAACTGGTTGAGAAGTCATGAAAAAGAAAACATCAAAAAAGGAGTCAGGAAAAGGATAAAGGAAAATAGCTCATTAGGAGAGAAATGTGAATACATTTGAAAAAGACAAAGAGTTACAAGAACAATGATGCTAACACAGTATAAAAGTTTATCTAAGTGTAATGGTGTTTCGGAAACATAAGTAAAGAGAAAAGCAAACACTTAAGTGAGTGAAGACAAAAACAGGTTTCTGCCAAAAGCGGAACCTAAAGTCGGGAGAAGCGGACAGGGCAGTGGGCCCCCACTACTGGGCCGGGAGAGGTGGTTCTTCTAACGACCTGATGCCTGAAGGTTCTGGAGGCGCAGGCCGGGCGGGGGATGCGCTGAGACGGGGCGAGGAAAGGGCAGAGGTAGATGACGGGGTGGCACCCACCTGCTTGAGAACCTCGGGGCCCTGCCCTCACCGGTCTTTTCTCCCCTGGCAGAGCCCCTGACCAGGTAAACAAGCCAGTCAGGGGAGTCGCCGGGCCTCTCCCCTCGCTCTTGGTGTCCTGGAGTCCGTATGGTGGCGGCTGAGCAATATGTGGCCGCCTGGCAGGGTGAGGTTTTCCCTGTGAGCTGCCAGGGTAAAAGGGAGGTCGGAGGGGTCATCAGCAGACCTCTTGTGAGGGCTGAGGCTGGAGGAGGAGGAACATCCAGCCTTCTGGCCTGGACTGTATTTACTGAGTGCCTCTGGTGTGCAGTGGAGTGTTCTAGATGTCGGGGCGGGGGAGGGGCACACGGAGCAACAGAGAAAACGTGCAAGACCTATGTGAGCAGAGTGCATGGTAATTTGGTAGCTGCATGTGGGATGAATTTATAATCTGGAATAACGTCAGCCAAGGAAAACCAACTCTTTAGGGTCCTGTTAGTACTCTAATCTCTTCTGTTTGCTGCTTATGCCGATGTGGTTGCTGTTAAGAAAGAGGATGCATTTATAGCTGAAGAGCGCGGGACTTGGAATCCAGAGACCAGGGTTCAAGTGCTGGCCCTGCCACTTAGTAGCTTTGTGACCTTGGGCAAGTGTAACCACTTAGAGCATCTGCGTTCTCATTTGTAATGATAATAATCTGTAATCATAATAGAGCTATAATAGTGACGTCTGCCTCACCAAGTCCTAGGTTGTCACGGGCATCGGAGTGCATGAAAGTGTTTCATAACTTGCAGAGCTCTGTTCAGTAGCTGCTGACCTTTCTAGATCCCAAGTGTTTTGCAGGAAGTGGTGCCTGGTTATTCCATCTACCTCTCACCGCACCTCCAGAGTGTCTGGGGCCCTTAGGAAATGCTGGTTGAATTGATGGACGAGTTGGCTGCAGCACTCGGTGTTTTCCGGGGCCATGTTCCGGGGGTCCTCTCCCTGTCCACGCTGTTGGACGGGGAGGTGGGGCATTGGACACACAGAGCGGTTGCTGGGCACGGCGATGCCAGGGCTGCCACCAGCCGCCCAGACTCGAGGAGGGTCCCGAATCTCAGGACCAGACATTTTCACGTGGCTTCCCGTTTCCGGGTGGCCCAGCTTGGGGTTCAGAAGCAGAAAGCAGACTGGGGAGGGCTCCCATTCCTCTTCCACTGCACGCCCCCGACATGCATGCCTACACAACCCTCACACGTGGTGTCCCTGTCCTCATGGCCAAGCCTCTGCTGGCTCCCTGTGGTTCCTCATTTTCATAACTCTTACCTGGGCCACCCTGCTCATGGCCCCTGGAAGGGCAGCGTGTGTGCTGGCTGTCTCGAGTGGGTCTGCTCACTCCTGCGGTTTCCTCGTGTCCTGTGCAGGTTGTCTTCCATGATGTTGGCGTGCTGACGGACAAGCTCTTCCCGGTGGTGGAGGCCATGCAGAAGCACTTCAGTGCTGGCTCAGGGACCTACTACAGTGACTCCATCTTCTTCCTCTCGGTCGCCATGCATCAGATTATGCCCAAAGGTAACCTGGATGCGGGCCAGTAGCCCTGGTTCAAAGCTGCCGGTGCCCTGAATCAGAGAGAAGAGCTCCACTGAAACACGAGGGACAGGGTGAGGGGGCCAGCCACGCCCTTTGTGTCACAGCTTTCTGCACAGAGACTCAAGGGCAGGGCCCTGGGGTGCACAGCTGCTGGGCCCCACTCACGAGGACAGTGGAAGTTGTGCAGTGTGGTATCCCCAGACTCAAGCAGGGCATCTGGGCTCTGGGCCTGACTCAGTGCCTGCACGCATTCCCTACCCGCCCCGGGACTCAGTTTGCTCATCTATAAAGTAGCAGGTTGGGCTAGAGGATCCTCTATCCAAATCTGTGATCCTCTTCTCTCTAGTTTGTACCTGTACTTATCTGACTTTAAAATATCCAATCCACATATGAGAAGTGCAAATTATAACTCAGTTTTCTGAAACTTTGACACACAGTCAATCAGAGGCTTTTCTGGGCTTTGGCCCCTCCGGGGCAGAAGAGATTGATTGTCTGGTCTATGGTAGGTCGGGCTTGTGCGGCAATGCCGGTGGGTCTGGTCACCCTTGGGTTAGAGCCCTTGGAGGGCTCTTGTTAGTGGGCTGTGCCAGGCTGCTGGCTTCTCTTCCTCCCAGTGGTCCTTGATTGATTCTGGAGCTCTGGATATGCCCCCCAGTTTCTGGCCATGGTGAATGAACCATGACCTGAGCCTCTTAGGGGTGTGGAGGGGAGTTCCGGGGTCTTGGGGTAGCCATGACCTGAACTGTGACTGGTTGGGTTTCCAACAGCCAGACCAGGCAGGACCTGATCGCCCCGGGGACAGCTAGGCCATTTGGTGGATACCTGCTGTTCCAGCCCAGCGGAGCAGAAGTGGAGGGGTCAGGAGCCACTGGCGTTAGAAGGGGCCTGTAAGCCGGGAACTGAAGCTGGGTTCCCCTTGGCAGTGTGGTGTCCCTGGACGCCCCAGGAAATTTGAACCCGCCCACCGTGGCTGTGACTTTGTCTCCACAAGGCAAGTCCCTGTACCATGGAGGCCTCTGAATGTTCTCTTGCTGGAAGGCAAGGCTCAGGGAGATTTGCTGAGCAGGGAGGGGTCAGAAGGAGAGAGGAGGGTGTGGGGGAAGAGCTAGCATTTGCGATTCTTTCCCAGCAGCCAGTGCAGCTCTGTGAGCTCACCGAGTCCTCCTGCCAGCCCTGCGCCACCATAGCTGGGGGACTGCGGAGTGGACTTAGCCAGGGTTAGACAGCCATTTAAGTGGCAGGGCTGGGATTTGGGCCCCAGTCAGTCTGACTTGGAGGCCTGCTTCTCTAAACAGCAGCTCCTCTGTCCCCTCCAGTGTGCCTCGAGTGGTCCCTCTGGGTAGGACCGGTGCTGGTGCCGTGGAGAATGCAGATGGAAGGAAGGTGTTCCCGCTGTTCGGAATTCTAGAGGGAGACAGACATGGTACTAGTCCCAGCCCTGCCGCCAGCCACTTGCGTGCCTTTGCTGAGCCACTTTGCCTCTCTAGGCCTCAGTTTCCCCACCTAGAGAATGAAGGGAGCCCATCTAGTGAGTTCTTTTGGCTTGTATTTGGAAGAGTCCAGGCCTACAGGAATCCCCCTGTGGGTTTCTGCGGTCCTGGGGAGCTGAGGGAAGAGGGGTTCTACCTTTATCCTACCCCTCTCTACCCCTACCCCTGCCCCCTGCCCCGCAGTCCATCCTGATTGCTGCCTACATGAAGCTTTGGAGCAGGATTGTGTCTGCTCAGAGGATTCCATGATTAAACTAATTTGAAACATCTTTTTTTTTTTTTTTAAAGATTTTATTTATTTATCTGAGAGAGAGAGAATGAAAGACAGAGAGAATGAGAGGGGGAGGGAACACAACCAGGGGGAGTGGGAGAGGGAGAAGCAGACTCCCCGC